CCAACAATCTTCTTTTGTGTTGATGAATGTACCAATCCATCTATTTCATATAAGTGGAATGATGGAATACTTGATTTTTTTGTATCTGGCTTTGTACATTTATTTAGCTAATATTTTCGAAGTCCATGTATATGGTGGTGTCATTAGGTGCCATCCAGTTATTCTGACTCACAGTGACCCTGTGCAAAACACAATAAGACACTGCCCCGTCCCGAGCCAGCCTCACAATTGTTACTCTGTTTGAACCCATTGTTGCAGCTACTGGACCATACCATCTCATAGAAGGCCTACCTCTCTCACCACCCCTCCACTTTACCAAGCATGATGTTTTCCTCCAGGGGCTGGTCGCGCTCCTGGCAATATCTCCAAAGCATGTCAGATGAAGTTTCACCATCACTGTCCCTAAGGAGCACTCAGGCCGGACACCTTTCAAGACAGATTTGTTTGTCCTTTCGGCAGTCATGCACTTTTTAACATTCTTGGCCAGCACCACAATTCACATGCAATGATGAATGTATGGTGGTGTATATTAAATGATCACTTTTCTTAACTTTGTAATGTTCTATTGTGTCTATATAAGGAGCTTCAAAATTCATGAGGAATTGTAGTTAACTATAATTAAAAGATAATATAAAAACCAAGATAGACTGTGGAGGCTTCCTTGGGGTGGGGGGAATGAAGCCATGGACTAGGAAGTTGACAGAAAGAGAGGCTGAAAGAGAGGCTAACGGTCCGTGAAAGGAGCAGAGAAGTCAAGGGATAGCAAGTAGGACTGAATCTGAGGGTGGGGTTGATGTGTGGCTTGAACTATAGCATAATTTGATTAGCCACTTACCTGCTTTTTAAAATATTTTATTGGGAGCTCTTACAGATATCATAACATTCCATAGTTCAATCACATCAAGCATTATTCTATAATTGCAACCACGGTCAGTTTCAAACATTTTCTTTCTTCTTGAACTCCTTGATATCAGCTCCCCTAGCCATTTATCTGTTGATGGCACCTTTAGCGCTTGTGACTAATGCTGCCATGAGCATTGGTATACATGTCTTTTTTCTTTCAAGTCAATATTTTTTATTCTTTTGGGTTTAACGGAGAGTCGGATTGTTCAGTCTATGGTGTGTCAACATTTGGTGCAGAAACCACCAGCCTTTTTCACAGTTGCTTCACCAGTTTACATTCCTACCATGTACAAGTGTTCTGATTTCTTCATATCTTTAATAACACTTGTTGCTTTTTTTTTTCTCCTAATGATAGCTGCCCTATGGGGTGTGAAGTAGTATCTCTTGTGATTTTGATCAGCACGTCCTTAGTGGCTAATGATATTGAGCATCTTTTAATGTACTCTTTGGCTGCTTATATATCTTCTCTGGGAAAATGTCTATTCAGGTGTTTTACCTATTTTTAATTGAGCTATTAACCTTTTTGTTGCTAAATTTTGAGAGTTCTTCATACATTCTGAGTGTTAAACCCTTATCTGATATACGGCTTTCAACTATTTCCTCCCATTCTGTTGGTTGTCTCTCCACTTTCTTGATAAGGTTCCTTTATGTACAGTAGATTTTAGTTATGATGAAGTCTAGTTTATCCGGATTTTTGTTGTTGTTGTTGTTGCTCATGTTTTTGGCGTCTAAATATCTACAATTCCATTGCCTGAAAGAGTAGTTTCAAGCTTGCCCCTTTGGTTTTGTTCTAAAATTTTTAGTGTTTTAACATATATTTAGGTAATTGATCCTTCTAGAGTTAATTGGTATAGAGTATGGTTCTAGCATCATTCCTTTGTATGTGGAAATTCAGGTATCTCATTACCTTTTGCTGAAGAGGCTGTTCTTTCCCCGTGTGTTAGACTGGGCTATCTGTCTGTCTGTTTTCCTCCCTATCTATAGAGCTTTTTTTTCCTTCAGTATGTATGAAACCAAGTGTCCCTGGACTGCTACAAGAAACTAACAGACAGGGATAGATAAGAAACAACTTTACTTTGAGCAGCGGGAACGACAAAATAGCACTAAACGGCTATATTGTAGTCCTGTCGAGCATTTTTATATCAAGAAGATGGCTCGCACGATTGTAGAAGCATGTAAGTCCCATCCATGGGTCAAATATTAATTCAGAGCCCTCTCTTGACTCGTATAGCTTTGGCAGCTAATAACCTAAGTCTGGCAGGAAGACTTGGGCTGGTGGCTGCAGAGGCAGATGAATCCAAAGGCATCAGGTCAGACTTGTGACTGAAGAGACAAATGCATGCAAGGGTTGGCAGGCAATATGGTAGTTCATTGGCTCGAGTCCAAAGAACTAGAAGTCAGTAAGTCAGGTGCAGGATCCAGACCCAGCAAAAAGGAAGTCAGTGTTCCCACAGGGCCCTTATATAAGAAGTAGGCTACAACCCTGACAAAACTCAGTTACATCAGGACTGTGAACTTAGTAAGGGGGCTGCACTTCACCTTCATCTTACAACTGCTTGGCTCTTCACAGCAGAGCCCCTTATGGAGTCGATTATGTTAAGTTAGGTCACATCATGGCCTCAGTTGCCAAGCCACTGAGAACCCTGGCCCAGGCAAGTTGATAAAAAACCTAACTGCCAAACCCCATTAAATAGATAAAGAACCTTTATGAAAAATCATGTGTCCATAAATGTAAGGGTTATTTCTGGATTTTCAACTATATCTTATTGGTATATATGTCCAACCTTATATTACCATATTATTTTGGTTACTATAGCTTTGTAGTATGTCTTAAAATTGAGAAGTGTGATTTCCTACTTTATTCTTTCCTTATACTGCCCAACAAGACTATTTGGGACCCTTGTAATTTCGTATGAATTCAAGGATCGATTTTTCCATTTTTGTAAAATAACTGTTGGAATTTTTATAGGAATTGTATCTGTAAATCACTTTAGGTAGAATCAACATCTTAATATTGCATTTTCAAGTGAATGAACATGACTGCTTTTCCATTTATTTATATCTATTTAATTTCAGTAATGTTTTATAATTTTCCATATATATAATTTTCTTAACATTTACTCCAAGGTATGAATTTTATTTATTACTGTTACTATTATAAAAGCAGGTTGTTCATTGCTACTATATAAAAGGATAACTGATTTTTATGTATTACTCTTGTATTCTGCAACTTGCTAAATTTGTTTGCTCTAATACCTTTCTAAAGGATTTTTAAATATATTCTGTATATCATCTCTGAATATGGATAGTTTTCTTCCTCCTTTTCATATTTGGGTGCCTTTTATTTCTTCTTGTCTAATTGCTCTGGCTTGGACGTCCAGTCCAGTATTGAATAGCACTGGTGGAAGCAGGTATCTTTACTTTGTTTTGTTCCTTTTCTTAGAAGCAGCAATTCTCAACCTGTGGGTCGTGATCCCTTTGGGTGGGTTATCAAATGACCCTTTCACAGGGGTCGTCTGATTCATAACAGTAGCAAAATTACAGTTATGAGGTAGCAATGAAAATAATGCTATGGTTGAGGGTCACCACAACATGAGGAACTGTATGAAAGGGTTGCCACATTAGGAAGATGGAGAGCCACTGTCTTAGAGAAAAAGCTTTCTGCCTTTCACCATTGAGTCATTTTTGCTTGGATTTT